CAGAATGGTAGAGGCCAGTACAGAACTGAAACTGTCTCGCTTGCCTCTAAAAAGGGAAAGCAATGCATATTTCATCTCTGATACTTCCAGCAAAGGCCCACCGAGTGTTTGCGTGTGCCTGTGAAGAAGAGGGTGTTTGTCATCCACACCAGACGGGCAGGGAGACTAAGGCAAGCTCTCTGCAACCCGCTGAAGCCAGGGAAAAGGCCAGAGACCTCTGGTGTCCTGAACAGAGCATATCTCAGCTATGATTTCATTCACAGGGTCAGGCCCCAAGGAAAGGGAGAGAAACAAACAGAAGAGAATGCCAGGAAGGGGCAAGGCTGAGGGGGAAATGAGCCTGCCTTCTCCAGTCCCCCTTGGATTTGCCCTCACCTCCCACACACGCTTTCCTGCATGTTAATCGCACAATCAGGCCTCCGATGGCATCTTTCTTCCCCTCCTTATCTCACCGACTGGAGGAAGTGCTGCTGGGGAGGGGAAGCCTGGTGCACAGTGAGCATAGCTGGCTATTGATCACCCTGACCCCAGCTCTCGACTGGCTTTGCAGAGAAAGGGGAAGAGAACTTGGCACAGCCCATTCCCCTGGGCCTTCTGCCATCTGGGTGCATTGAGCTCCCCACTTCAAGGAGTGGCTGAGATTTTGGAAACATCACTGTGTGGAATGGTTGATGCTGCAGCTGCAGTGAAGGGAGAACAGCACTGAACCTGCTTAGTGACATGTCTTTGCAAACTCTTTCTGCTGCAGCTGCCAGCCCTACGCTTTCGCAATGCGTAGGAATGCGCAGAGATCCCACGCCTTATTTGCTATCACTGCCACTCCCCTCCTGAGCTAGCTTTGAATTGTCCTACAACTGGAAAACTTCTGATGTTGGATCTAAGCCACCCTGCCCAGCTGAAGAGCACTCAGACTGAACCATGTTCTGCTCTCATTGGTGCCTGTTTCAGGAGCCTTGCTCCATTTTACATAAGCATCCTTGAGAGCTTTTTATTTGTTTAGACGTAGAATAACTTGACGATGTGCAGCCTACTGAGTACGTCATGAGAGCTCTAGTGTTTCCTGTAGTAAAGCACCTCTCTCTGCGAAGTCCCTGTGAGTTGAGGCTTATCGCCTGATGAAGGTCGAGTATAGCAGGGAAAAAACTGCAATGTTTGTATCGATTGCCTCTTCATACACTCTGTGTAGTCACTCCGTACAGTCTGAGTTAGACTTTTCTCCAATCTGCCTAGTAGGATCTGCAGAGATGATTTTGTTAGTCTGTGGTCTCTGTGTAACTGGTCAGGAAGAATTTTCTCTCGTATTTGAAATGTACTGGGCTACTGTTTCTTGGAATATGAGCACTCAAAAGCTAGGGCTAGTTGTCATGAAGTCTGCCAGATGATGGCAGAAAGAGAACGATTTTAAAAAAAAAAGGAAGCTGAGAAAGAGAGGGACTTTGGTTGGACTTCCACCTATCTCACTGGCCTAAGGACCATGAAGTGAAGTAGCCTGGGAAGCGGATCCCAGTTGTACAAACCAGCCATGCAGCACGGTTCTCTTCTGAGCCAGATGGCTGTACCTACGTGGGAGTGCTCTGACCACCTCAGCGTGGCCAGACCGATTCCCATGCAAGGAATTCTCCCCTTGAGATAAGGGGTGGATGGGGAGAGAAGATCCACCAAGGGCCGGCCCAACCCTTCTTACTGTTTTCTTCCTCTGTTCTCAAGGTGGATTATGACGTTTGTAGCAATTACGGTAACTGGTTATACAGCGCTGGTATTGGCAACGACCCACGGGACAACAGGAAGTTTAACATGATTAAACAAGGCCTGGATTACGATCGCAATGTAAGTCTTGTTTGGCTGTCTTACAATGAAGAGCGCAGCAAAGCATATGTGATAGTTTCAGGGAACAGAGGGGATCAATCTGCTCTGTGGATACTGCTGCAAAAACAGATCTGTGATCTCCTTGCCAACAGTCAGGCAGGTTCCTCGTTGTTGTACAGGAAGATCTGACGTTTACAATCTGCTACTGTCCCCAAAGAGGCTGGTGCTCTGTATGCCCTCCCTGCCCTGCCATTGGGCTGTGTGTTTAGTGTTTCATCACCATTTCTTCCGGGTAGCAGCCACATCCCATCCGTATCTCACACAGCCATTTCCTTGAGCACAGAGCAGCTTCTTGGAGAACTCAGAAGTGACAAAAGAGACGGAGCTGCTCACATAGCACCTCAGGAGGTCCTGGGGAGTTGATTAAACCTGTGACTCTGACTATCCTCTGTAAGTGCTGGGAGCAGATGAATCGCCCTTTCCGTGTGCTTAGCCAGTGTTCACATACCGGATTACCTGCTTCCACCCTGTTCCTTGGCTTTGTGGCAAGCTGTGCTGTTGCCTTTCGGCACTGTAGCTGGCAGGACTTAGCAAGGAATCAGAAATTAGTCCTAGTAGGGGACATAGCAGTAGAGTTAATGGGAGAGATTCAGGGGCAAGGGGTGTTCATCTCGCCAAGCACAAAAGTGTACAGCTGAGCTAGTCACCCTAGTTTCCTTCGGTCACTGGAAAGAAAAAAGGACTTCTTGTGAGTGACTTCATCTCACTATGTCCTAAATAAGGCAGGTGAACTGTACCAGAAAAGCACCTGTGTCTCCCTCCTCTGCCTGCAGAGTGAGCCTGGGAGCTCCAGCATCCAGGTCTCTGTGTTTAGGCACTAATTCTGGGTAGAGGGTTTAGCAGGAGGGGCTAAAACTTGACAGAGGTAACTGATGCTGTAGCACACCAGTTTCTTTACCTGGAAAGCAGGCTTCTTTCTTTCATGTTAAGAAAGACCCTTGCTGGGAAGCACTTACAGATTGTTACTGAATGGATCCTGTCCTGTTGGTTCTGTTTGCAGGGGGATTATGTCCGGCTGTGGGTCCCAGAACTACAGGGCATAAAGGGAGCAGATATCCACACCCCTTGGGCACTGAACAGTGCTGCTCTCTCCCAGGCAGGAGTAGCTCTAGGTGAGACCTACCCACAGCCAGTTGTGACAGCCCCAGAGTGGAGCCGACACATCAACCAGAGGCCCGTGAGTACTGGGAAGGTTCCGGTGGGGCGGGAGGGCTCCAGACAGCTGCTTTGCGTCTGTAGGAGTGTCTGTGAATTCTGCTCTTCTTTCTCAGGTATAAAGGGACAAAATTGCTTTAATGCAAAGTCACATTACCTCACAGCAGAGGGTGGTCCAGCTCTGTGCAGGGACTGCGCAGCCGGGGTTATTTAGCTGTGTCTGTCCTGGTAAACTAAACAGGTCTGAGGCACAAGCCCAAGTACCGACCTCCTGTCATCCAGACAGCTACACTGTTAGTGTATTCCCCAGCACTATTTTGCCAGGGCCAGCAAGCACCTTCCAGAACCTTCTCCAAGCACAGTTTGAGGGTACCACGTGCTAAGGACTGTCACAAAAGACGATCTTGACAATGCCACCCTACATTGTATGGACGTAAACTGTGCCAGGCCAGTTGGCTTTAGGGCTGAAGAATGAACCCATGCGCGTTTTGTTTACTATTTTCTAGGTAGCTTTTCTTACTTGTTTTTTTTCCTTCTGGATATACATAGTGCCAGATATACCCACTGTGGTGAATGATGTAAATTTGAGCTGCTTCTTTATCCCATCAGCCTTGTATAGTCAGCAGGGCTTAGACAGAGAGAGCGTGTCCTTCACAGCATCCTTCCCTGCCCTCCAGACCCTGCCTGCCCTGGCAGCCCCAACGGCAGGCAGAGAGGGATGGGGTATCTCTGAAGGCCTCCACTGGCCTAACCACTCCCTGATGCAGACGGACAGAAGGGAGGCAGGGCTGATGCTCAGTTTCCACTCTGTTCATGAGGTGGAAGTAAAAGCAACCAACTTCCTACCATGCTTGAGTGCATCCAAACTGGAGTCAGCAAGACCAGTAAATACGGGGACTGGCCCTTGCGCTTTGCTTTTTGGGTGTATCTCCCCTTTAGAATGGGGACAGATTAAGATGTGGACCCTGCAACACGTCAAGACTTGTATCTGCTGACTGGGCTGCTGTTCTTGGAGGAGATGGGTATGGAAGGAAAGTGCTCTGTAGGTCTGGGTGGGATCAGTGGTGGGTGGAGCTGGAAGGGAAGAAAGAAATACTTGCAACCAACAAACAGTTGCATTTTTCAAAGGGTTTTCAGCATTTTGTCTTCCCCCATGCATCCTCCCTGCCCCCTCCCGAGTAAGGATACTTTGTGGAGGCTCAAATTTAGCTGTCATATGACGTTCAATGAAGAATGAAACATGTCTCCATTTCGGGTTTTAATCCCAAGGTGCAGTACCAAATTTCTCAGGCCAGATTCCTTTGCCATGAGTAGGAAGTTTTGCAGAAGCAAAGCCTTCTGCTTCCAGCCATGCTGTTGAAGGGCCTGGATTATTATCCTTCTGCTTAAGAGTGCATCTGAGACCAGAGAAAGGACCCTGTGAAGGAACCCCTCGGTGAGACACTGGTTTGAGGCAGTGATGAAGCTTGAACCCAAAAAACTTCTCTGTCAGGCAGGAGTTTCATCTTGATCAACCTTCCAGCTCACCTTGGGCTCTGTGGGCCTGCACTGCCACGCTGTGCTTGTGAAACTAAAATACTGCTGGCAGGGACTGTTGGCTCAACGTTATCGAGGCCTGGAGAAGAATCTCTCCCCTCAGCCCCCCCCAAACTGAGTATCAAAATCCCTTTGAAAATACAAGCCCACATCTCACCAGAAACCCTAGTTTCCTAAGCCCAAGCCTAGAGCTGTGCCTGTCAGGCCTCCCCTCCTTTTCGCGAACTTGGGGGCAGAAGTGTCTCGTGCACATTTTTCTGCACGTCAAGGCTGCTTTGTGATCAGATTCACTCTGCAGCATCAGTAAATATCTCACTGTTCATCTTTCATTTGCAGCAGGGAAGAAGTCCCCATCCCAGGGGCAGGAGAGGACCTGCACACCCGCCAATGCAGCACAAGGACAGAGGGATGGATTTTTACTTTTCTCGCGAGAAAGATGTATGATGAAGGCTGTCCAGGTGCGTGCTGGAGAAGCGCTCAATGGGAGCTTTCGCTGCCGAAGAGGTCAGGATAACGGTTAATCTCCTTGAACCGAGCCAATGGTAGAAGTCTGGCCACAACAAAGTAACTAGGGATCTGCCTCTCCGCTGTTCCCAGGGACTTGAGCTGGACGGGGCTATTTGGAGGCTGTGTGTTAGCACTGATCGTGGTGATCGGATCTTGTATTTTCACTTCGGTGCTTAGGCTGGTGCTGTGAGCTCTCAGGCAGTTCGCCTGTCCAGGAGTGGCTGCCCTTCGGTGCCGAGGGTCTGACTCCCCTGGACAGTGTATCACTCTCAACCCTGTAAAGTCCTTTGGTTGAAAGGGGCTGTCTGACTAATATTAATTAACCAAAATGGCATGGCCTTTCTGTTTGGAGGAGGTGTGGCTGCTTTTCCAGTGCCTCTTGCTTTGCACTGGTACTTACAGCTGTTAGAGCTGAATTTCTACCTCTCTTTACAAACTGGAGCAGATGGTTTATGTGGCAGGCGTTCGGTCAGAACTCTTTCTAGTGAACTTTCTTAACGCTAGTATTTCATGTTTTAAAGCTTTAAAACTACCTATCATTGTGCAATTAAAAGTTTTGCTACTGGAATATTTTATCTTTCTCATTTCCACTGATGCAACAGAGATCCATAGACAGAGTGAGACTTCAGGAGACATTCTTTTATGTGTCTCCTAAAGCACTTCAGAGAAACAGTAAATTCCTCTTGAAAACTGCCCTGGAGTCCTTGCAACCCCCAGGTTGTTTTTGGTACCAGCCTGGAAGCTGGAAACTGTTCAATTCATAGCCGAGAGCCGCGTTCTGTACTCAGCACCAAAAACCAGTCAAAAACGGTTCCCTGGCCGTTTTAAGCATTTTTTTTTTAATGCAGAATGTTGTACTCGCTGGAAGAGTTTGAGAATTTGGAGATAACCGTATTTGTGCTGTCGTGGAGCATTGTCACCCGATGGAGAGCCCAGGTTTGAACTCCTCAATCCCAAAAGCAGCCCCCTCTCAGTAGACAGCACATGGCTCTGCATTTATTGCCACTAGGTATCCATTTGGGCCTCTTTCGTAAATAATAACACCATAATTCTGTTAAATGTCTTTGAACACTTACTTGGACAGATAGGTTCAGGACTGGACTTAGAAAAGAACTGACATGGAACACAAAAGCAAGTTCTTCTACCAAAGGGAGATAAATCAAGGGATTTTGTGTCGGGACCACATCAATAATCCCACTGTTTGTTGTATTAGGGGGCTGGACAGGAACGTAGCCATCATGGGGTGATTTGGGGGGGGAATAGAGGAAAACAGCTTTAGGAACAGCACTGTTCCCTCTGCGGCAGTAGTGTCTCCCCAACCCATGCCACGCGTCCCGCGTGTCCCCGTCCAGGGCTGCCCCACGGCTCCGTCAAGGATGGTGCGGAGCCAAAGGACGGGGCCATGAACCAGCGCCGTTTGCCTCCCGTGGAGAAAGCCCAGCGTCAAGCCAGGCAGCGGGGAAAGCCCGGCCCCGCGCACCCCAAAAGCTGCCCCGCACCCCGCGGCGGGGAGGGCGGGCAGAGCCC